ACCTATTGCCTCTCCCCACGCCCGCCAAGGATAAACCTGGGATTATCCATTGCCTTGAAAATCCTACAATCTGCTGTCAGAAAGTGTTTCTTTCTGTCCTTCTTGGGACTCTTCTGTTGCATTGAGTTCATCTCTGCTTGTGTAATGGGTCAGGGTTCAGATATCATGGTCAATGCGTTTTCTCAGATCTCTTCCTTTCACCATTCCCCAGCCCCAAACAGCACAAGAGAATCCAGCGCGTAAAGGGTTAACTGGACTAAAGGGTGTTATCTCCAGCTCAGGGCATTCCCTGGGCAAGGTGATCCCTGCTCAGATCTTAAGTTACCTCCTGCCCCAGCCAGCACATCTGCTGCTGGCTCTGCAGACCCCGTCTCTATGGAGAGGGGCGGGCATCACGGGGGAAACATTTTCCAGCTGGGCTTGGGCACAGGGTGGTGGGCTCCCAGGATTACCCTCTTCCCCAATCCTTGCCCCTCATTTCCACCTCCTTTTCCAACAAGGGGGCTCCTGCTTTCTGCTGCATGAACTCAGGATGCGTCTAGGCACATGTACGTATGTTGCTGACCTGGGCACACATATGGCTCTGCAGGGCTGCTCATGAGGGACCAAAGCCCACGTTCATGCCCTTTTCTAAATGCCAGGAATATGCTATTCCTCCCCACACACACGTACACCATGATTCTTTCCCCAAGTACCCATGTAGGAAGCAAAGATGCCAAATTAGGAGCTGGAAACCTATCTCCCTCAGCCCCTCCCAGCCATTCAGGGATCCTGAGAACCTGTGGGGCAGGCCTGGCCCCAGTTAACACCAGGTTCCGGCACTGCTCTGTTTGCCAGGGAGACAACAGAAGGCTAACAAGAGAGAAAAGTCTCTCCAGGTGTAGTCAAGGTCTTTGGCATCTCCCTGTGAGGATTCGGAGGCCCAGTCTAAAGCCAAGGGCAGAACAGAAAAAGGAAGCAATGTCTAGGCTCCCCACCTCCCAAAGGACCAGCAGCATGTCCTGGAAGGAGCTAGCCAAGGGCAAATCCTGGGTCTCCTCCCAAAGTCACTCTGACATAAGCACGGGCATTATCAAGGCTCCAGACCACTCACAAAATCCTAGTCAGAAAGCTATAGGAGGTTAGTTACACGTGAACATACGTTTGTTATTATGTATTTGTGGCCCCAGTCCCATAGGGACCCACAGATACGAGTACACACACCTCCTAATCCTAGTCCCCACAGATCTGCACAGGAACAGTGGACTGCAGATTGCCAACACAGACACACAAAGCCCTGCAGACGTGTGTGCGTGCATTCACTCTACAGTAAAGGTGAGACCATATTCGAACTGTCAGAAATATTACAGCCTAAGTTCCACAACAGGCTAATAATGTCCATTCTGGTCTGGCATGCTGGCTAATGTTCAAAGTCAAAAAAAAAAAAAAAAAAATAAGCAAAACAGGTGAATATGCAGATACCTGTCCATGTGCCCCTCCCCCAGGTGGGAGGCATTCGATTTACCAGGTTAACCAGGAAAGATACAATCAGAAAAATCGAAGATACATTCACACCTCCCTTGGGTGTTTTCTGTTAGTGCTGAACAATGAACATTAGTCAGCTGCTAAACAATGGCAGTATCATAGACACAGCAACTGGCCGACCCTCTGCCCCTCTGGCCTGGCCCACTTGCTCAGCTGTCAGCACTAGGGTTCTGGCCGGTGCAACCATCCTGGCAGCAAACAACCAGGTCCAGGGGCCAGGCGGTGGCCAAGGAAGATTCACTGTGCAAAGCTGAGTGGCTGAGAAGGGACCTGATAACACCTCTGGTCTCAGCCAGCATCAGGCAACAAGGGGCTACCTGTCTCACATGCTCAGAAGTTCAGGTTCTAGAGACACCTTCTAGGCCACTCAGCCAGGGCAGCGGGCCCCAAGCTCTGCAACGTCTCCTCTTCCTTTCCAGCCTTGACTGTAAGGCCTAGAATCTGATTCCGAGACACTCCACAGTGCTGCTTTACAAAGAGGCAGCAAGATTCCCCTTTACACATGCTGCAAACTCCAGGCCAGCAGACCTGCGTTTGCCATAAAGCCCTGCCCAGCACGCCAAAGCACAACACTGTCTACGAGAAACAGGGAGTGAGGACAGAAAATAACCCCACAGCACTGACACTCAGAATTTCAAAGGAAAACACCATGACAGTGAGCTCTGCACACACTGCAGAGAGGGGTGTGCTGTGACCTGACAGGTCTTCCAAGGGTGTGCATGACACCTGGGGTGTGTGTTCTCTTTCCAGACAAAAGGTGTGGGGAAGCCAATTAGGGAGGGTGTGGTATAGCTGGGACACTGGCTCAGTGCACCTGCTTCTCAGGCAGGTTCTCTGCCACCTCCTTGGCTCCCTCGTCCCTCCTTGGGATGCAGCTCACATGCCCCACTGACCTTCTCCTCTAAATTAAAGGGAAGAGGCCACAGACTGTCATCTCAGGATACAGAGACTTGTGGGGCCTCAGCGCCCTGCCTGGTAAAGTCTGTGTTGTTGAAAACATACTTCTGTGTTTACACTTCAGTAGCCAGATTGGGAGTGTTTTGAAGTTGGAGGCCACGGGGACCATCACACACACAACACACAGGGGCTCCTCCCTCATCCTCTACTCATCTCCCCCCTCCCCCACCCTGGTGCCCCCATGCTCCTTGTCACTGTCCAAGAGAACCCAGAAAAGAGCATCAGACTGGCAAATCCCTAGAGAGAAGCAGTAGCGGGCAATTAGGAGGAAGCCACGGGTGGTGCAGAGTGGGGCGTGGGCTGGCAACTTCTGGGCCTACTGGCCTCCATCCAAGTGTCAGACTGGGCACAACCCTATCTACTTGCCTCCCTTTGCAATGGACCGAGAGAAAGCAAGCAGAGGAGGCCCCAGGAGCCCAGGGCTGAGGAGCTTGGCAGGTCCGGGAACTTTGGCTGTGGCGGATGCTACACATCCATCAATTTCAGTGGAAGGGCACTTATTAAGTGCCTGTTTCAGCTGTGGTTCCCTTCTCTGCATCCCACCTCCTCATCTGGATTTTTGGTAGAGGCAGTGTCCACCTTGAGCCAGGTGAGTGTCACCTCCCAGCCCCCGATTCCTGAGTGGGTGGAACACAGCAGACCTCCAGCCCCCAAATGAAGGAATGAACCACTGTGGATCACAAAGCTGGGGACAGAGAATAACAAAAAGAGGGGAGAATGGGGTGAGTTCCTTCCCCTCCCCCAAACCTTCCCACCCTTTGTCCATCCCAGGATTAGATTAACCCCTAGTGCGCTGGACCAACCAGAGCTCCGGGAAAGATCTCCTTTCTCTGGGTTTCCTATGTGGACACATGGAATTGAAGGGTTCTCAAAAGCCCAAACCCTGGTGGTCAGGCAAGTCCTAGAGCCAGAGCTTCTGTATCTGCGGCAGGCTTCCCAGGCAGTCCAGCGTGAGATGAAGACCTCTGGGTCTCACCAAGATCACCCTCTTGGAGAGGGGCTCAGTCCTGCCCCTGTGAAGTGGGCAGTGACACCTGTGAGCCCTGGAATATTCCCTGCCCCCTACACTCAGCAGGGCAGCACTCCAGGCTGCAGGGATGGGAGCACCCCAGCACAGGCTTTCACAAACCGCTTCCCAGCCGTCCACCGCTCAGCGAGATCTGCCCAGCCCCAGCAGTGAGCTGGCTGGCGGGAGAAAGGGCACAGAAGTGAATGAGGCCAGGCTCCTGCCTTCCAGGAGTGCACCGGAGCCGGCAACCGGGCTGGCCCCTTGCTAATAAACTGTATCGCCAGTCTGCAGCACCGTAGGCGCCGGGAATCTAATATTCTCGTCCCTTGCCGAGCTGCTGGTCTCCGTACTCTGACCCCCTATCCTGCCACCCCAAGGCGAGGACCGCGTGCTCTAGTCAAGCTTCCCCCCCCACGCCCTCCCCAAAAAAAGCCCATCTTGCTAGGGCTGCAGGTCGTCTCAGGTTTCTTCCCAGAGAGCTAGAGGAACTCCCCATCCCCCTTGACCCGCGTTGGTGTCGCCAGCCACGGCAGGAGCCCGGGCAGAGTCCCCAGGGACACAAAGGGTTAAATCCAGGCAAGGGGACTCGGTCGGATTTGCCTCCTAAACGCATTTTCCAGTTCATTCCCCAGCACAATATGCCTGGGCCGGTCCCAGCCTCCGCCACTACCCCACCCGTCAGAATGGGCCACCGCGGGCCACCCCCGGGTCGGGCGCGGGGTTAACCCCTCAGCTGCCGGCAGCTCGCACCTCGAGGAAGGACGCGCGGGGCACCCCCGGGAAAGTGGGTCATGCAGCCACCTGGCTGGCACGAAGCCCGTGGCGCCTCCTCCAGGGAGAGCCCCCAGAACTGGGAGCGGAGTTCCGAGGTGGAGCCCAGTCGGGCGCAAGGCCCGGAGGTTGCGATCCCCGGTGGCTCGGGCCTCACCCTCCAGGAAAGAAACCGCAGGTGAGCCAGCAGCCGCCCCTGCCGCAGAAGCAGGCTCTCCGCGCCCGCTGTGGGGCGATGTGGGGCCCGAGCGCCCGAAACGGTCTGGCAAAGGGGCTGGCTAAAGAAATGAAGCCCCCCGCCACCCTCCAAACCCACAGCCCACCAGCCCCGAGACTGACGCCCTCCTCCTGGGGCTGTGGTCTCATACCCCGACACAGTGATTACGGTGATTATTTTGCATTTATGTAACATGCAGTGTTTCCAAACTGCTTCCCGAGCTGAGAGCTGGTTATTAAATAAATAGAACGCTATTACATATTATTATTTTTGTGAAGAACTGAGCGCAGAAAGTGTTTTCTAGCTACACAGAGACGTGCATCCGACTGCTTCCCTGCAGGGCAGGCTGTTGGGCTTCGCGATCTCTCTTTCTCTGCCGCGCCACCTCCCACCGCCTTTACCCAAGCCGTGACCCAACTTTTCTGGCTCCTTTCACTCCCTACAACCCAGTCGTGCCCCCCATCCAGCTCGGAGCCCCGGGGAGGCACTGGATGGGGAGTGGAGGGGGTGGGACGCGCCTACCTGGGAGGAAGAATGCAGTCAAGCCGAGAGCGAGTCCCCACCAGCGTCCAGCGGCGCCCGCAAGCCCCATCCGAGCCATCGGGGGCCGGGGGTCCGGCGAGAGGGGAGGCGAGGAGAGCGCTCCTCGCGCTCCAGAAACCAGCCCGGAAGGCGAGGGCGGATCACTGGCGGCCGGCGGGCGCTCGGAGGATCCAGGTCAGCCGCAGCCGTCGGCCGGGGCGGGGTGGGCTGGGTGGGATCGGCGCGGCCGCAGTCCGGGGCCCGGGCCGCCGCCGGCTCAGAGGCTCGGCAGATGCCCGCCGCAAGTTGCACGAGTCATGCCCCTTCGCCGCCTCCGCTCTCCTCCCCGCGCCGTCCCCGCCCTCTTCTTCCACGCAGAGCTGGGCTGGGGAGAGGGACCCACCCCCGGCGCGCCCGGCTGCCCGGCGCGGGCTCCCGGCCCCCGGCGCGCTCACACCCTCCCGCTCGGCTCCAACTTGCAGGCGTCCATGGCCGGCTGTCCTCCGAGGGTGGCGGGACGAGCCCGGCGGCGAGGAGGGCTCGGGGCCCAGGCGGCGGGCGCGCGGCTGGGCTGCAGCTGCCCGGGCTGCGCGGCCGGGCGCGAGGAGAGCGAGCCGGGTGCGCCGCGCGTCTCCGCCGCCGCCGCTCTGCCGGTGCCGGCGATCCGCAACAATGTGGAGCCGCCGGGGCGCCGAGTCGAGCCGCGCTCGCTGCTCTCCCTCTCTTTCTCTCACTCGAGCTCTGCCTCTCAGCGCTCTCCCGTGATGTCAGCCCGAGGGGAGGGGTTAGCGTTAACCCCCTCCTCGCCCCGCCGCGCGCCCGCGGCCGCCCGGCCTCCGCCTGCCGCCCGCCGCCCGCGTGCACCTTCCGGCCCGCGGCCGAGGCGGGTCCCGAGCGCGGCCGCGGGGTCCCGCTCGAGCCCCTCGCGAGGAAGATGCCCCTCGGCTGCCTCTCGGCTGGGGAGGGGCCGGGGCGGGCTGCCTCCTCCCTCGCTGACAAAGGCGGGCAGTGACCCCTAGCGGCCGGCGTCGGGGAGGCTGTCCGCGGGGGTGGAGTTAAGATGCGGCGGCGGGCGGCGGTGGAGCGGCGTGCGGTACCGAGAAGCCCGGTCTAGCAATGTCCGAGCTGGAAGGGCCTCCGCAGCCCTCTGCTCCAACCGTCGCCCCATTTCACAGATGAGGAGATAGAGGCCCGAAGAAAGGCGAGGCGACTCGCGCAAGGCAGACAGTGCCCGAGCTCGGATCCCTCTCCCCTGCATCGCTTGGAAGCTCAATACAGAGGCAGCTAAGCGCGGGGCCAACAGGAAACGGCCAGAGAAGTCGGCGGTGGGCTTGAGTGGGCGTGATGCGGCCACTGACGTTTCTCATAGGGTTTCCTTTCTAAGCCCTGCTCCCTTCAGGGGTTCTTTTTCCAACAATCGAAGCACCGTCCCCCTTCCCCAAGTGGAGCAGCACACTGAGCTCCGCTCCCTTTGCCAGCACCTTGACTTTGAGCGATTTGCAGGATTCCCGCGAAAGTGGCCCATCCAGTCAGTGTCCCGGGCAGGGCAGGGACTCTCCACCCCATCCCGTTCACCATCCACCACATCCGGGTGTGTTAGGCTTCCTGCCAAGGCGACTGCTCCCTCCCGGCCCTTGGCAGCCCAAAGCCTGCCCTCTCCCTCTTCCCTCTGGGCCTCCTACCCGCGTCCCATCTCCCGGGGCGGAGAGTAGGGGGGCGGGGAGGCAGACAGGCAGGGTTTCCTACTAAAGAGAGCCGAGTTCTCCTTAGATGCCTGACCAGACGATGCTCCCTTTGCCCTTTGCCCAGCCCTCCAAGCGGGCAGGAGCAGAGGGGACGTGGTCTGTTTCTGATAACATGTAAATTCTGGTTCCTGAAAGGAGGAGGAGCAGAAGGAGGAGGGGTGAGGACGGCGGCACCTTCCCACTGCTTGGGATCCGGGGCCTGGAGTGTTTCGTGGGTTCTCCACCGCAGTGGTCAAATCCAGCACTCACACGAGCACTCACCCACTCACTGTATGGTCTTTCACATTTAACAAGTGTAACCTGGGCTCTCTTTGTAGCAAAACACTGTGCCCAGCTTGGGGATACAGAGACACCATCATGGCCCTAAAGGCACTCGGTCCAGTTGGGGAGCTGGGGGAAGACAGATATAGAAATGTATGCTGTAAAGAAACATTTAATATAGTGTGGGTGGGTGTGGTGGGTCGGGGACAAAGTGCCCAATTTAGCCTTGGGTGGGGTAGGAGTCAGGAAAGGCTTTGGGGGAAGGAACACAGGGTCTCAGTGAGTCATCAGACAAGGGGAAGTGTCGGTACAGGATTAAAGGTAGAGGGTCAGCATGAGGAAAGGCATGAAGGTGAGAAACAGCTGGGTGAGTAGGGGGCCCACAAGTGGTCTGTTGGTTGTAGCCCTAGCCTAAAACTTGAGGAAAGGAGAGGCCTGCAGGTCTGTGAATCTTGCCCCGTGGCCACTGCTCCCAGTTTTAAGCTGGGGAATGCAGTATCAACTTTAGTTTGTGGCAGCCAGTTCAGCAGCCAGAAATCTCCCATCTGGCTGCTAAGTGCTTTAAGGGCCAGGGCTGAATTGGGTCACTGCTGTGGCCTCCAACTCTGGGCCTGGCACATTATAGGAACTGAATGGCTGGGTTTGAGGGGGCAATTCCAGATGCACCGATGTCTGCTAGTTCCCTACTCTTGTTCTCCCACCCTCTCAGTCCTTGGGCAAGGCTTCTTTGATTGTTTACTCTTAAATGGGCTTCCAGAGAGGGTGTATCTGGCGGGAGGGCTTGGCTGCCTGGGGGGTGGGTTGAGGGAGAAGACAGAGACCAGTAAATGAGATAGAATGGTTGTTCATGCATCCTCTCTAAAGAAGCAGGGAGGGCTGCTGGAAGAAGTGACATTTGACTGAGGCCCTGAAGGACAGATTAGATTTGGACCAAGGGAGGTGGAAGAGAGACTCTCAGGTGGAAAGAACAGCTTGTATAAGGACATGGAAGTGCATGGAGGTGGGAGAGCTTCCACCTGTGTTGGAACAGCAGGCAGTCCAGTTTGTTTTGCATTCTGGGCATGTGTAAGAGAAAGGGACAGGTAGGTGTGGCCAATATGCAAAAGGTCTGGAAGGTTTCCTTAGGTGGTGAGAAGAAGCACATGACCAAGTATCAGGAAAGTAGGCTCTGGTGCATATTCTTAAGCTAGAAGAAGCCCAGGAGTCCTTCTTGCTTCTTCTCCTTTCTTCAACCATCATATTCCAATTCAAAAGCAAACCTTGTTCATTCTGCATCCAATATATATCTTAAGCCTAGTGACATTGCTTCACTTCTGCTGTTATCACCCTAGTTCAGCCATTCATGATTTCTGCTCGGTCCTTTAATGCCCTCTGGTAGTATAGCCAGCACATACTGAGGGAAAGGAGTAAAACATAGTGGTCAGGCACGTGGGACGACTCTGGAGCTACTTCCTGGATTGGAATTCTTAAACTCCAGCTCTGCCACTCACTAGCTATGTGTCCTTGAGCAAGTGACTTAACTTCTCTGTGCTCAGGTTACTGATCTGTAAAATAGGGGGAAATAATATCATCTACCTTAGAGAGGAGTTGTGAGGATTAAATGAGTTAAACATGTTAAGTACTTGGAACAATGCCTGGTGTACAGGAAAAACTGTTTAAGTGTTAGTCATCGTTATTACTGTAATCTGCCTCTCCATATCCAGTTTTGCTCCTCTCTGCCAGAAGAATGTATGTATTTTATAAACTTTTTATTTTGAAATAATTTTGGATTTACGATAGAGTTGCAAAGATGGTATAAAGTTTCCATGTGCCCTTTATCCAGCTTTCTTAAATGTTAACATCTTATATAACTGTGGTATATTTATCAAAACTAAGAAATTAGCGTTAGCATAATACTATTAATGGAACTACATAATTTGTTTGAATTTCCCAAGGTTTTTTCCCCACTAATGTCTATTTTCTGTTCTAGGATCCGATCCAGGATACCACATTGCATTTAGCAGTGGATTATCTTCTAATGCAAATGGTCGGGTCCCAATGCCTGAGAACCCTTCCTTGGCCTGCCAGACTCTGAGGCCAGTGTCACATCCTCAACAAGGCTTTTAGGGCTCCTGTCTGCTTCTCACCCTGCTTCAGGACTTTGAGTAGGAGCCCCTGGGCTTTCCTAAGGTTCCAGCCACCAAATTCACCTCCTCTGTCTTCACCTGAGTTGGTCCATCTGCACCAACACTCTTCCCTTCTTTTTGGAGAGCTCCTTATCCTTTAGGGCTCAGTTTACATGTGTGACTTCCTCACGGTGGCCCATTCAGCCCTTTGGACAGGGAGAGTCTCCTGCTATGTCCTCTCACAGCTCCATTTGTGTGCTTATAACCACTTCAGTAATTACTTGCAGTGCTTCATTCGCTCCCTCCTAGGCTGTCAGCTCCTCCAAGGCAGGGGCCATATCAGTCTTGTTCTCTGCTGTATCTCTAGCACCTAGAACATGCCTAGGACCTGGTAGGCACTTAATAAAAATGTGTCAATTGACTACCTCACATCCTGTGCCACCCTCTGCCAATCCTTTCCCCTCTCTGGGCCTCAATTGTCTCATCTGCATACTGAGGAATTTAAATTGTTCGTTGGTTTTCAAACTGTGTTTTGAAAGCCCCAGAATTTCCTAGGCTCCCCACTCCTTGCTTCGGTAGGAGCCATGTTTAAAGAACATGTTGTTTTCATGCACTTTAAACATTGGGATTCTGAGAAAGATTCTTCTTAATGGATTTTGAAGATTCTGCTGCTTAAAAAGGTTTGAAAAACCCTGACAGATTATTGCATTATATATTACGTGTTACATATAGTTGCAGGATTTTACGACTCCATGATTTTTGTTCCCAAGCAGTGGTGAGCCATTGAAGGTTTCTGAACAGAAGTGCTTATTGGGAGCTGTCAGAGCTGTGCTTTCAGAAGATGAATCTGGCAACAACGTGGGTAGGATGGACAGATGACGATTGGTCAGTGAAGGAGGAGGGAAGCGAGGAGAGAGGGTTGTCATGGAAGCCAAGTGAGAAGAGAATTTAATAGAGGAGGAGGAGGAGGTTGCTAATAGCAGCTGATGCTGTAGAAAGCAGGTGGGGATCAGAAAGGGTCTTTGGAAGCAGTGGCAAAACCACCAGTGACCTTTGAGAGAGTGATGTTGGTGGCCAAGCAGGGGCAGAACCCAGATCAAAGGAGAAGGAGGAGCAACTGGAAGGTGGAAAAGCAAAGGCAGCAGGTGTCCTCTCTGCTTTTGAGAAGTTTGTTGGAGGACAGAATGAGCAAGATGGATCA